GGCAGCAAGTCTTGCGGAAGACTCACTGCTGAATAGGCGGCTATGCTCCACCGACAGTGTCAGACGCCCCCAGCCCCTGGGAGACACCTGGCCCCGGGATGTGCACGCAGCAGCGCCTCGGGGTTGCTCCAGCTGCGGACCTCGGCAGGCGGGCTCAGCGCCTGAAGCCAGCCGGCCACCGCCCCAGCCCTACAGGCTCCTGGAAGGCTGTAGGTTAGTGGCTGTCTCACAGCTCACTCCCTGTACTGGTTCAGGCTGTAACACACATGCGCACACGCATAGGACGCGAGGGTAGATGAGGCCCGGAGTTTGCTCACAGAGGATACTGGGACGAGGGGCATCCAGCAACTGGGGCAACCAAGGATTTCTCATCCGAAGAGAAAAAGAAAAAAGAAAACACGATGGCCACTAGAATGCTTGACATTGCCCCACAGGCTGCTGGGTTCAGTTGGTTTTTATTTGTGTCGTTTGTTGTTGTTATGTTGTTTATTGCTGGAAAATAGTTATTGTTTGTAGCTCAACCTTAGATTTCTTTACTAAACTCTATGATTTATTCTAATAAGGCTCCAGTTAATTTTCTTGCATTTTCATAGTAATCATACCACCTATAAATAATATTCTAACTCCTTCCAAATTTATGACACTTTTCTTTCATTGTAGCATTGCTTTGGCCAGACTGCCAATAAAAAATTAAGAGTACTTGTTAAGCAGACTCAAATGCTAAAACGTTTAGCCACTAAGTAAGAAGTATACTACAACTGTTAGCTAGATACTCTTTATCAAGTTATGTAAGTTTAGAAGTTTATTCTATACTTTTTCTGCATCTATATATGTTATCATATATTTTTCTTTTATAAATCACTAATGCCATGAGCTCATCCTATGACAAATCACACTGCTCTTACTCTGATTTATTACTTCTTAATATTTTCCTGGATTCATTTTACATTTCTTTTCATCCAGTTCATAACTATAATTAGCCTTTAGCGTTTTACTTTGTGATTTCCTCTTCTGAACTGATGTCAGGATTATGCAAGTCCTATAAAATGATTTAAGAAAATTAAAATTACAGCCTTTTCTTTCTATCTTAATTAAATCAGACATAAATAATTCTCCTTGTGAAAATTAAAACGTGGCAGATACAGTCAATTTGTATTGTGTCAACTTAGCTAAGCTGCAACTTAGTTTCCCATAATTTACTCCCTGGATGCTTATTTGCAGTAGATTTGGGAGGCAGAAGAGGAGGAGCAGCCATACTGTTCTAGCTCCTGTAGGATCTTCTCCTCCAGCTTCCCCTACTCCTGGGCCAGATGCAGGAGCATGTTGAGCTCTGTGCCTAAAAGTGGCAGCTTCTCTGGCAGATCACCCCTATCATCAAAGTCAGAGGTATGGAGAAGGTGAGGGCCTGATACAAGCTCCAGCTTGTCCTGCGGATTCCAGCTCTTCCTGGCAGATCTCAGTTTGCCTCCCCCACCTCTCAGGTACCTTTCCTTCCTGGCTGGCTGTCCTGGGACTTTGAGCTCCAGCACCAGACACCAATTGGACTGAGGTAATGCCACAGATACTTCATTTCTTTAATAGGACCTTCTCTCCTTTCTTTCCTTTTGATTCCAACTGGCCTCATCCAGCACCTGGACTCACTGCCTCTTTCTCCCTGGCACAACCACTCCCTTAATCATTAAGCCCTCAGGACAAAGAGGTTCTGATGAGCGGCAAATAATCTGGAATCTGTCGATCCCAGAAACTAGAGATGACG